CTCTCTCTCTCTCTCTCTCTCTCTCTCTCTCTCTCTCTCCCTGAGCTTTTATGCTTAAAGAGCAAAGTGCAAACTCTGAGAGGAAAAGGAAACAAAACAATCTGTCAAAATTCCTCTTAGCACCTATGACTAGTGTTAACTTACATGTTCCCAGAGTGCAAGAAAAAAGCCCAAGAACTGCTGCTAAAAAGATGGTTTGACCTTTTAAACTGAGAACTCCCCCATCTCATACCCATATTAAATAGGTAAACCTTGGGAGTGCCACAGTTTTAGATTAAAGAAATGAAATGAGGTTGAATTTCCAGAAAAGGAGTTTCCCTATAGGCTACAAGCTAATTAGGGTGTTCAACTGACACTGTAATAGTAAGTAGAATGCAGGCCCCAAATCTCCTAGCCAAACGTAGTGGCCAAGTGCTCGGAGTCTAGTTCCGAAAAGGGGCGGGAGGGCAGATGACAATTTAGTAGATAAAGTCCAGAACGTGACCTCTCTAAGCCTGTGTGGTTCCAGAGCAGGATGTCCGCCCCTGGCGGTGGCAGAGCCCTGGCGATCTAGGTGCACCGCAGCTGCCAAATCCTCGGCGCGCACTAACCGGCGCTGCTGAAGGAAGTTGGAGAGCTCCCAGCCAGCCGACTGGATAGGCGGTGGGCGCCTGGGAATCCCTTCCAGCGCCGCAATTAGGAAAGTTTTGAAAAGTAAAGACCCCAGACAGATGAAGGGACTCATCCTTTCTTTGAACCTAAGAAACACCTCGTGCTACACTAGGCGGCTGCTAGCACAAGGCCACCAGTTCCTCTTGGCCCGGGAGCATCCTGTGCCTTCCAGCTCCCCACCGCCCCAGAACTGGTCCCGGGGGCGCATAGCTAGAGGGGCATTCTGCTCAGCTGGAGGTTCCGGGCAGAGAGATGCCCTTAGGCTCACTGGCCTGGGAGGACGATGGCAGAACCTCTAACTCCTATTCCTACACCCTGGACCTTCTCTTCCAAGCCAGCTTGATTTTCTCCAAAAGACGCACGACACTGCCCATGCGCCCCCGGCACTCCACTTCTCTCCCCAAACTTCCCGGGGAGACCCACAAATAAGGACTGCGCCCCCAAACTCTCACGACAATCGCCAATCATCCCATCTTTGCCTCTTGAACCCTCCCAGTCGCGTTCTTCCTGCCCCTCACTATTCTCCTCGCCTCTCTGAGGAAGTCAGAAGCAAAGCACGAGAAAATGCCTTCGCCAGGAGCCTCCCGTCACCCGCCCTGTCACTGAAACAAAAGCGCAGGGAGGAGGGAGGTGGGTGGGGAGGCAGGAGGAAGGTTCGGAAAGAGATGGGGGCAACGGTAAGAAGGGGTTGGGGAGGGGGATCGGAATGGAGAGTGGAGAAAGGGGCCAGGAACCCGCTCCCGCGCCGCGTGGCGTGACCGGTCGCTTACATGCCCAGGTCGCTGTAGGTGTTGAAGAACTCCATCTGGTTGCATGCCTGGATCCAGCCCACCACCCAGGTCTCGTGGCGGGGGATGGGGGGCATGACCACACGGGCTGAAGCTTTGAAGTAAGGGGTCTTGTAGCGCAGGACGATGGGCGAGGTCTCCTCGATGCGCGTGGGGCACTGGTCGATGGTGGCGCACACATCGTACACCACGATGTTCTCGCGCCGGATCCGCGCCTTGCAGGTGATGCTTTGGATACAGCCCATCCTGCCGCCCGGCGCCGGCGCGGCGCGGCGTGGGGCAGCGCGGGGGCCCAGCGCGGGCAGCCGCGGGCGCCCGTCACGCCGGCATGGCGACGCGCCGCACGCTCCCGGTCCAGCTCAGCTAGCGCCTAAGAGCGAGGAGCCGCCGCCGCGGGGCATCCTCCGGGGAAGCCCCCTCCCCTTTCCGCGCGCTGGGTCGCGGCTGCCCCGACGCCCGCCCACGCCCGCCTCCTCGCTCCAGCAAGGGCGCGCGGAGCGTGCGCTCCTAGGAGGCGGCGGGCGCTCTCGCCGGCTCCCGCGCCCCGGCGGAGGGCAGGGAGGGGAGCGGCGCTGCGAGGAGTGGTGCCCACCCCGGGCCGGAGCCCCCCGCCCTTCGCCGGAGAGGAGGAGGCGGTGGCGGCGGCATGGAGCTGCGGGAGGGTGGCGGCAGCAGCGCCCGGTCTGTCTGTTTCCGCGGCGGCAGCAGCAGCAGCCGCCGCCGCCGCCGCCGCTGCATGAACCTCTGCACCGCGGCTGCCCCCCGCGTGCAGCGCACCCAGCGGCGGGCGAGCGGGCGGCCCGAGCGGCAGGCGGAGGCAGGCGGCGGCGGCGGAGACCGCGCTCCCTCCCGCCCCGCCCTGGAGCCGGACAGCGCCCACACTCCTCCGTCCGGCTGCGGGGGCGTGTGGGGACCGCCAGGGGACCGTAGCCCCGGGCAGAGAGCCCAGCGGGCTAGGGCTTCGGGGGACATGCTCCGCGGAAGAGACTGGCTGTACGCCATGAGTTTGTCCCTCTTCGGCTGCCGTCCGGGGGGGGGGGGTAGTGTGCAAGGGTGGGGGTGTTTAAAGGGCCGCTAGCTCTCGGGCGGGGCCCGGCACGTGGGGTTGGGCGGGGCCGGGACCCCGGTAGGTGGCGCCCCGCGGGTGATAGTGGGGTGCAGAAGCGGGACCCTGCTTATTGGGATGGGTGGGGCCGGGAGGGCGCGGCACAGCTCAGAGTATAGAGGGAACTACAGTGGGGCACGGGGCGCGGGAGGAGAGATGTTTGAGGCAGCCGAGGGGTTGTTGAATCAGCTTTATCTGAGATGTATCCTTATTTGTGATATAGTTTGTTAGAGTTGGGTGTGATCTGGTATCCTACCCTGAGAAAGGCTGAAGTGTGAGCTCCAGCCTCAGGAGATGTACTACCTCTTTCACTGGCCCGCATTTTCCTCTAGTCTAGTAGAAGCTTCCCCCCCCCCCCCAACACACACACAGTATTGAGAGTGATACCTGAGAAATCCCGTTGGAGGCTGACACCTGACACGAAATCATCCCAACTGCCAGTGTTAGTAGAGGCAGGAGCTCAGCCTACTCATGTCCTGCTTTCATAGAACCCCTCCACAACCTCTGAAAATATCCGTATCAGAACAACACACAGTGGGGGATTGAAGCTCCTTGGGAAACACTGCCCTTTGAATGTCTTGCATCCTTAGACAAGCTGTACTTAGTGGAATCATCTAGCTAGACCAGAACGCTTAGCTACCCTCCCAATGTTACCTAAGGCCTGTTACTTACAAGCAGAAGTGTAGGACTTTATGGAACCCAGGAGGATTAGAGTAACCACTTGATCCTACAAAGTCAAAGCGCCAATTTGGAGAAAACCATCCACGCTGTAGAAAGCTGGGGATCTTGGGGATCTTTTCTTGTCTTTGCTTCTTCGGAAGGTTCTTAGTGACCAGCACATAGTCATTTCCTACCAGTTATGTCAGGGTGAAACCTTGATGGAAGAACTGCCTGTCTATGCTCTCCCAATGGAAGCTGATGCCACAGATGAGCTGCACATTCCATTCTGTGTATCTGCCGTGTGTGCGTGTGTGCATGTGTGCGTGTGTGCACGTGTGTGTGTGTTATTGTGATCTTGGGTGTCAAATAGGAAGAATATATGCAGATAATTTTTTATTACACATCTTTTCACATAGTTCAGAGCCAGCAGCTTCTTTTAGCTTTTTCCCCTCACAATCATTGAGCATTTGCTGGATCTGGTACTCAAATGTGAACTCCTCTAACAGGCTGCAGAAGGCTGCTGGGGTTAGTCTTTAGTTAGGACAGATGAATTGCTAAAGTTCTAAAACGCACTTCTAAAAGCAGCCTTCATCCTTGTCTTACCTTTTCTGACATGTTGGGCTCACTTTATAGTTCACCAAAAAAAAAAAAAAATCGATCTCCTTCTTTGATACCATGGCTCATTTTATGATGTAGCTGTAGGCCTCCAACACTGGTCCTTTTGTTCACTTCCTGGTGGCCTGGCAGAAGCCAAGTATTGTGCTAGGTACTAGCAACTCAGAGTTGAACCAATGCTCATGATTCACTTGAGGAGATAAGTCTATTAACAAGTTGTTGCAGTCAACAGTGATACTGCTGTAATAGAAACTTAAGTCCAGTGCCATGGGAGGCCAGACAGGAGAGCCACTGAGGTTTACACTGATGGCTCCACTGATACAGTGACGTTTGAATTCGATCCTGAGGACTGATTGAGACTGGCCAAGAAGAGAGGCGTGTGAGGATGAGAAGGAGATGAGTTTGTGAAGAGTGAAATGCGTAGGGACATGAAAGAGCTTGGGCACACTCAGGGAAAACCAGTCGGCAGTCAAAGAGTTTCTCAACGTTCTATGTGGGCCGTGGGCTTCAAATCTCTGTCCCCAAACCAGTCGTTGATCTTCAGAGGAAGCCAAGGCAGGCAAGTTTCACAGTTTGAGGGGGTGGGGAATGGCTCTCATCAATGTGGAGACTAGAAATAGGCAAGATTTCAGGGTCCGTGATTGACAGGTGTTTGGCCTTGAGTTAGAGTAGAGCTGTGGGGCTCCAGAGGCCTGACTGTATCTGCGAGTCATTAGGAGGTAAATTTGATCACTCGGTGATTGATTACTTTCAGATGAAGGTTGGGGCCAACTATTGAGTTTTCCAGCTTTGGTGATCAAATACACGTGGTCAGAAGAAGGCAAAAGTAGGAACATGCTGAGATTGGGAGTCAAATCATGTTCAGTTGGAGATGCTCAAGAGATGGTTTGGGGGAGGAAGCCAGAGTGTGAGTTTCAGTAGTTATTGTCTTCTAGGAAGATGGTCTAAAGAAAAACATGCAGCGGAGAATTAGGTTATCTTTCTCATTTGAATAATTTGCCAGTCTGCAGTTGTGTGGATAAAAATCTCCATTGTCTTCTGGTAGTACAAGCCAAGCTGTCATACATGGGAAGGGCACGTTAGCTGTCTCCAACCTGTAGAAAAAATGTGTAAGGGAGAATGTGTTTTATTTTCAAAACTTAAAAGACTTTGTTGTATCTAGTAAAGTATCAATAAAACATATTATCTGCAGACTTTGATCAATGACTCTCTTGACGCGTTCACCCACGACCTTGGTGAATCTCTAGAATCATGAACGTCACCATGGCAACTTCAACCATAAAATATAGTAAACTATAGTCATAAAATGTAAGGGATCCTTTCAGACTTAATGGATCTTAAATAAACAGGGGACTATGTTAACTTCTAAAGGTATTTACATAAAATTTGCAATTAAAATACACTTACTTTATTCCAGTGCATTGTTACCTTATCAACTGTATTATCACCGGAGTCCTCAAGAAAAAAAAAAGTCAGTGTGAGACTCACTGTGTAAATGTCGATCAGAAGAGTGAGCTAAGCTGTGTGGAGACACAAGTGTGTGGTCCACACGCTGGATATATGGCTGGACATATGGCTGGACATATGGCTGGACATATGGCTGGATATATGGCTGGATATATGGCTGGATATATGGCTGGATATATGGCTG